CTCTCCCCCTTTCCCCCTTTCCCCCTTTCCCTCGGCCCACCCCATCCTCTTAGTGATTAGCCAATCTTGTCTACATGCGTTGAATGGGAACGGCCGGAGTCAGTTAAATTGGACCTCTATTTTTACGATGTTTAGAATGTATAGACTGTTCAGGGTTCAGCCTCCTGATGAGTCGGTGAAACTCCGACGAAACAGTTTGTCACAGCCCCCCCTCGTTTGTTGAAGTCCTCTTCTCCCTCCCTCTCTGCCTACGTACGGTTTACCGGCAGAACCGTGAACAGGTGGGGTTTTCCTTCCTTACTTCTTTCCTTTTTTTTTGTTCTGTCTTTTGCCGCCTTTGCGGTCCGATTCACAGTGTGACAATATATATGTATCGTCATAAAGAACTGCTCGGTGATCCGTAGGCAGAGAGGGAGGAGAGGACAACAACAGACGAGGCGGACTTCTTCTAGTGTCTGCAGAGTCCCCTAACTGATGATAATGACTCTGAAGTGAGATAATCCACCTTAACTCCGGTTGCAGTTAATCATCAACGACTGCCTCTTTTACAACTGATACCCCTCTGAGGAGGTGGGGACCACCAACCACTCCCCTCAAAAGGTAGCTGTGACGAAAATCAAAGTAGACTAGCACTCGCCCTCATAAATGCAGCAGAGTCCTTCGGGACATCCGTTAAAATTGGAACGCTACAGAGAAGATTAGCATGGCCCCTGCGCAAGGATGACACGCATAAATCGAGAAATGGTCCAAAAAAAAATAAAAAATAAAAAATAAAAATGCAGCAGAATGTTCCTGAAAGAGAGGCGCTCTTCGTCCCATAGATCATCGGTGTAATCAACGATTATCTAATCAACGATTATCTAATCAAAGATTCTATCGACAATCTAAGTAGCAATCCAATCAACAATCTAATTAACAATTTACTCGACAAACAAGTCACCAATGCAACTAATGATCGACAATACAATTCGCACTCTAGCCAACAATCCAATGAACAATTTTTTTATTTTTATTTTTTTATGAAGAGAAAGGTCGACGCCTTGAGAGAGAGCATCTTCGAAAATTTGAATATCAGAAAAAAAGTTAATCATAAAATAAAAATCATCATCGAAATAACCGGCCCAAGGTAATTCAGAGTTATTGTAGCGTTTAACTCATCTGCTTCCAGTGGGGTTCGGACTCGGGTCAGTATTTCAACAGTTGTAGGGCGTACCAATTGAGCTACCGTCTTCCCCCGAAGACAATGAACGGTCGTTATAGCTGTATCTAGACTGAAGGATGCCTCGAATACAGCTATAATGACCGTAATACAGCTATAATGACCGTACGTTGTATTCGGGGGAAGAAGGTAGGCCAGTTGGTGGAATCCAATTAACAATCTAATTACTGTAGAAATCCAATCAAAACAAACCTAATCCACAGTCTTTTTCTTTTTCTTCTTCTCTCTAATAAATAGATATTCGGAATGACGATCTAATCTAATCGACAATCTAATCAACAGTCTAATCAACAATCTAATCAATAATCTAATCAACAATCTAATCAACAATCTAATCAACAATCTAATCAACAATGCAATCAAGAACCGAATGTTGATATAGGGGGATTCAGTCGACAGGGTGACGATGATCAGCAGTCGGATGTTTTTTTTTAATAAAAAATCGTTGCTTTTCCGTCTTCACCTGAACACAACGCCCGGTCATTTTGGCTGTATCTAGACTGAAAATTGGACCAAGTACAGCTTTAATGACCGGGCGTTCTATTCGGGTGAAGATGGTTGTAGGTCACGGATTCGATCACTCGATCGGTTAATTAGCTAATTAGTCAGTGAGTCAATCAATCCCATTGATCAGAATGCGCGCGCGGGCCCAATATATACATTGTTGGTTAACGGTTTAGTCCTTCAATCATTCCCTTCGGGACATCGTTAAAAGGATTGGAACGATACAGAGAAAGAGAGGATTAGCATGGCCCCTGCGCTTTCAAGGATGACACGCATAAATCGAGAAATGGTCCAAGTTTTTGAATTAAAAAAAAAAGTAATGCGCCCACGTGATCGGTTTGGTTAATTAGCCAATCAAGGTGCTGACAATAGTTGGGTGATAGATACAGGGTGCAGGATTCAAATGATGAGGATGTAGTCCTTCGATACATCCGTTAAAATTGGAAAGATTTATAGCTGTATTTAGCACAATTTCCAGTCCAAATGCAGTGGTAATGGTCCCTGCACAATTTAGTTTAGGGATTACAAGATACGGACATCCGATATAAGGATTGGTACGATACAGAGATAGAAGATTAATTAGCATGGGCCCCTGCACACTCAAGGATGACACGCATAAATCGAGAAATGGTCCCCAAAAAAAAAAAGAAAAAAAAAAAGAATGATGATGATTTCTAGCCAATATAGAACTACGATCAAGCCTATCAATCAATTCTCGTTA